CTTTACTGCAGCAATTCTGTCCTTTTTTTATAATCCATAAAGTACTGATGGCTCCACTGTACATATACTATATGAAATTTATCCACACACACAATTTTAGTGTGTTTACAGTAAGGCTGACTGAATTACTGTATTTCTACATTTTTGGATATCAAAGATGGTTTTCATATTGTATACAGTTCAATGAGAAGTAATGTCATTTTTGTAATGTGATTACTTTTTCACATTTTGACAGTCTGTGCACTATGACTGACTATATGTTCCTGTTGGATAGAAAACTAGTGCTAATGTTTTGATCAAACGACTCAATTATGAGTCAGGTTTGCTGTGTTTTGATACGGTTAGTATATGTAGAAAATGGTATTTTGCATTGTGAAATGTAAAGTTTGTATTTATTTAACAAAATGTGGTTTTTGTCCGAAAATAAACCATTTGGCCAGGTGTGTGATGTAACTGTGTTGCTGTGTTAAGAGTTTAGAGGAAGTATTTTAAGTATTGGTCAATGCTTGTTAGCAACAGCAAAAAACTGTAATAAGACCATTTTAGCTAATTCCCTACAAATTGCATAGAATTTACAAAACAAGCAACTATGTGAAAATCAACTGCAGAAAAGCAAACTAAGTTGACACAGTTAATGTATCACAGTCACTCCTTTTTCATTGTTTTTCAGTGTTTTTGTGTTATCTGGTGATCTGGTAGTAGTAATCTTGAGGTTGTGAGCAGGAAATTTATTGCAAACTGTTGCTTGTTGGTGCATTAAAGTGCACAATCATTTGACAGTGGACAGCCTGACAGCAACATTTTGAATGCAACACAACACTGTCTTCTTATAATTTACCTTCTAGATATAATTTTCCAACAGTAGGAAAGTGCAATAAATTTTAACAACCAAGTAGTAGAGCACCACAGATGACTGTTAATTACATTAAAGTCAAAAACAAATAAGAACATTATCTTTATATACTTGATGAATTAATGGTTATAAAAAATGAGAGCATGGAGCCACTTACCTAAACCTGGGTGCAAGAATGGGTACATATGTGCTCCAGGGCCCTGATTGGGCACCAGCTCATACTGCAGAGCAGTGATCCTCCGGCTGATGTCTGTCTGTGGGATGGCTTCAACAAACAGAGCTCCCTCTGCCAGGCTGAAACAACGGACTGTGCCCTGAGCCTGGTCCTTCTCTGTCAGCAGCACCTTCAGGTCACCAACACGCTCCAGATACACATGAGAACCCTAAGTGAGATGGACCAGGAGGACACATATTCAGCACAGCTACACCTGACTGGCACAATATACCGCAGTGTCAGACCTGCTCATTCAAATAAATTAATTGTTTTGATCTGCAAACTGTTGATAAGCTAAGGTTCCTTTCTTAATATTGCTGTCGTACTCTACCTCAGAGTATGTGTGGGGTTTGATGCACACATGGAAACCCGTGGCGTGTCCTGATGAGGGCTCTGTGTTTGGCCGCAGGTTGACAATGACGGCCCCTGTGGGGTAGAGCCACTCCAGAGACCCCTGGGAGCACCGTAGGTAGACCTGCTCCACATCTCGGCGATGAGACTCGTGGCTCAGACCACTACAGATGACAGAACAAATGGTTGTGTTACATTTTTCATTTTAGGCATGTAGCTGCTCATCTTATCTTATCCAGAGTGTGGAATAGCAAACGCTCAAAACAATGGAAACGACCAGCAACCGATGATATGGGAAAATGTATTAAAGAACTATACAGTATAGAAAGGATTTTATGCAACATTTAACAGGAGCTGTGTTGCAGCAGTCTGCCAACAGGTATTTCACTTTGAACTCAAAAAAAAAAAATCACTTGCCTCTGATGTGCGAGCTCAACACCAGGAACTGTTTTGACTATTAAGTCATTATACGTTTGAGGCCAGTAAACCTAAGGCCAAAGTGTGAAGTGCAGGCTTTCATTTTTTATGACTTAGGGACTTGGGGGACTGATCAAAGGCACCACATGGCTGTATTTACTTAAGATAGAAACTGGAGCTGAGACATTCCTCTGCTTAGAAGTACACCTCCAAAATACTAAAGGGAGCGTTGTTAAATTTACTTAAATCAAATATCACATATATTCAGGATCTCAAACTAAGGCACCGCTCTCACCCACATATAATTTTTGTTGCCTTGACTCATTTTCCCTTCTGAGAAGAGTAAAGACACATCTAGTACATGTTCATAGGGAGCACTGAGATCTGACTAAATTTCAGGGTAGTAACCACAAGCAAAGGCCCAGAGTAACCAAAAGCATCCTTAAATTGTACTGAACATCTGCACCATGCCATTTATTTTACTCTGACCTATCAGTGCCCTTCCTGGGGATTACATGAAATCTTAAACATCCAGTATAATTACTACTCTGAGGCGCCAAAATCCTGTGCACAAAATCAAATACACAACCCCCTTCCTGGATGATGCAGTCGGCTATTATCTATCTATCTATCTATTTATTTATTTATTTATTTATTTTATTGTCGCCTATTGTAACCGTACATTCGCTCTGTCTTATCTGCCTATAAGTGATTTATTGTTGTATTATCTGCTCCTAAACTGAGAAGTCCTTTGTTCGGCTCCATCCTCACCTTCCTCGCCAGCTACACTGGTCGCTGGAGTACTGCGCCACCGCCCGACACAGGAGCACAGCTGTGATCCAGTGCGCAGCCCACAGCCGGACCATGGTGACCAGTCCGCCACAATGGTCACCCTCTCCTACAAGCCAGACCAGCCAGAACCGCGCGCGCTGCCGCTCCTGATCCGTGACAGTCCAGTAAAATATCCCCCGGAGCTCCGTCCAGCGGCAGCAGGGTACATACCGGATTCAGGCGAGGCAATGCTGCGTCTGACACAGAAAACCTCTTTGACAAGACGTTTGTAAAGGGAGGCGTAGACGCGCGCGACAGGACAGCATAGACTAAAAACACTTTCGCTGCGTGAGCTCCGTAAGGAGGGCGTGTGCCAGCGGCTTCCTCCGCCTTAGTGACACGCGACAAACCACTCCCACAATCCCCTAAATTGCAGCAGCCCGCGAGATCTCGTTTCCCCGATAAAGAATACTTTTATGGTTTAGCACAAGTTAAACTGGACCTGGTGTAAACCTGCGGCTGAATGTTCTGAAACCTAAACAATAAGTAAGAAAGAAAGTCACATAAAAGGAAACACTGTAGCCTGTGACCTGCTTCCTGTTAGCATCTATTTGCAAAAGAGCTTTTCATAGTTTGCTGGTCTGCATGCCAGTTCTACAGGTCCCTTAAAATGACAAAGCCAAACCGTTCAAGCTTGACTAAGTGCGTGGCGGTTTTGTAAACAGATGGGTCATATTATGACAGTGAAAATAACAGAGCAGCATGCAAATCTACAACTCCCTCAAACCACCAGAAATTCTGCAGTCAGTGCCCAGCTGGTTAATACAAGACAAGTAGGAATGAATTTATTCACTGCAACGAACAAGCAGTGTGGTATTTTTAAAAGTGATTTATCATTTGAAGACAATTTTGATGGTGCAGCATCTGCACTGTTAGGTCAAAGGTCATAGTGTTTATTTGTCATATGCACAGTTAGAAAACATGATTCCCTGTACAATGAAATTCTTATGTTGCCATCCACATGAATGCCACAAAATACAAGTGAAATATAAAGTAGATGAGCAATAACAAATCTAAATAGGCAGTTATTTGCCTATAGCCTAGTCCTCTTGGAAAAAAGGACCTGACTTAACACAGTCACACTGAACGGCTGTTTGGTTCTCGGACGGTTTTCCCGTGAGAAAAAAGTGGGAACGGTGGGTATGTTACCGACTCGTCACATTCCCCTGGACAGCCAGAGCAATGTAATGCATTTCGAGAAATACCAAAACGGGCCCCCTTAACACCCCCCGAAAATCACACACACACTCCCTTTTCCCACAATGTCTTGGCATTTACTGTTGCTAGTGCTGTTTTATGAAGCCTCTTTGTTGGCAAAGCCACCAGTTATCTTTTAATATCAGCCTATATATGCTTTACTTTTACAAAAATGTACCATAGTACATGTTGGTACCATGAAACAACAAAAAAACTGCCATTTAAAATAAACTAATGGACTGAAAATGAAAATTTTATTTAATAGCTCAAGGGTGCTCTATCATGTAGGGGAATTCCCCCACATCACATCTGTGTCACAATACCCCCACCCCCGTTCCCTGAATTTTAAATAGATGTGATCTCACCAGAAACACTTCAGAAGCATGATTCTGGAGGCTGCTGAGGGAATCTAGCCTGAGTCTATCCTGTCACCAAAGCAGAGGACGTTTGAGCTGCTGATGTGCTGTTTGACCTCATGTGCTTCATCTTATGAAGTATTTACGGAGCAGCAGAGCCTGCTCCTCTTACCCCTCTGCCATCACCTGGCTCTTCTCAAGCAGCCTGACATGAGGAAAGCTCTGTCTGTCCACCCACTGCTTCCTCATGGAAACACACACACACACTCCTTCACCTCTGACTACAACCTTCATGACCTTTATTTTATCGCTAATCGCAAACAGCACACTCCTCTTCTTTTTAAATCCTTTACTTTTTCACAAGGGGGCCACCTGAGTAGTTACACTGCTGGGAGGCTGAGTGCCTCTGGCAGGCGAGGCCGATGCCCTACTCTTTGGCCACCACACGCTCCACCTCCAATTTTTGTGGCGCCGCAGATGGCTGCCATCGGTTCTGTACTGGAAACAAATTCCTTGTGTGTAACATACTTGGCCAATAAAGGTGATTATCCTTATCCTTATTCAAGGGCAGCCTGACAGTAGTTGCTGAAGAGGGATGAACATAACTCATTCATTTGGCATCAACTTCATGCTGCCCTTCAAAAGAAGAGAGCAGGAACTACATAAGAAGCAACTAAGAAAAATGGTTCAAGGGTGTATGCCAGGGCTTCTCAAAGTAAAGGTGGTGTTTTACTGGACCACATTATATTCAGAGGTGTATCTATAGGTTTGTCCTCCTCAGCTACATACATGAGAGGGTCAGAATATTAGCAACACCTCTAAATATAATGTAGTCCAGTACATCACCTATAACTATGACCTTAATAATAAACATATAATTGAGTTTATATCTTTATGACAATTTCACTAAACTGAAACAGTTTGAGCTTCATAAACACAAATGTTAAGGTGGAAGTGTTGCACTGAAGTGCATACAACCTGCAACTTTATCCCCCCAAACATGCACATACTTGGAGAAAGAGAGAGCTGCTGACACAAAGGAATGTAGTAAACTTACAGGTGAGCAAACCCATCAATGTCTGACCTCTGTGAGTTCTCTTCAACTAAACAGATCCATCTCATTGTTCTCTTATCAGCTGCACTACCAGAGAACATGCAGCTGTATAAGTGCATGGTTGTGGGTGTGTTTTTTTTTTTTTTTTTTTTTTTTAACACACATGCAGATGTATTTGACCAGCAAGGTCAAACAGGCTCCAGGGTCAGGGTTATTCAGCATGTGTGTGTGTATCAGGTCTGATGTCTGCAGAGAGACAGAGTGTAAACATGCAGTAAAGTTCTGTTTATTCTCCGGCTGAGTGGCTTTCATAGATTCTCCATTAGCGCTCACTCTGATCATATACCAACTGCTTTATCATGAGGACAGAGTAGATAAAGGAGACAGAACGTATGTAGAAAGAGCTTTCTTACTTAAACAGCTTGCTTTGGCCCTTTCATTCTAAAATACATGGTGTCCATTTGGTAGATATTATCCAAAACACCCTACAGCTTCATGACCTCACACACTTTTAGTATCAGTTGCTGCTAAGAACTGCCAAGCCTGCACATTCACACAAATGTTTAGCAATAGCATGGTGAGAAGAGGTGATAAATGTATTCAGTGTGTTCAATAAGAAGATATGAACGTGTTTTTGTATCTAAAAAACTTCATTTTGCAACAATCAGTTGGTTAACTGATCAGTTGACCAACAGGAAATTAATCTGCAGCCACTCTGATAATTATTTAAGTCGCTTTGAAGGAAAAATGCCACATACTGTACAGCTTATTCAGGTTCTAAGTTGTTGAAATTTGCTACTTTGCATTTGTCCCATGTGACAATGAACTAAATACCTTTAGGTTTTGGACTGTTGGCCAAACAAAATAAGATATTTGAATATACAGTGGTGTGAAAAAGTATTTGCCCCCTTACTGATTTCTTATCTTTTTGCATGTTTGTCACACTGTAATGTTTCAGATCATCAAACAAATTTAAATATTAGTCAACGATAACACAAGTAAACACATCATGCAGTTTTTAAATGAAGGTTTTTATTATTAAGGGAAAACAAAATCCAAAACTATATAGCCCTGTGTGAACAAGTGTTTGCCCCCCTGTCAAAACACTGGTTTATCGCACCTGAGTTCAATTTCTCTAGCCACACCCAGGCCTGATTACTGCCACACCTGTTCGCAATCAAGAAATCACTTAAATAGGACCTGCCTGACAAAGTGAAGTAGACCAAAAGATCCTCAAAAGCTAGACATCATGCCGAGATCCAAAGAAATTCAAAACCAAATGAGAAAGAGAATAATTGAGCTCTATCAGTTTGGAAAAGGTTATAAAGCCATTTCTAAAGCTTTGGGACTGCAGCGAACCACAGTGAGAGCCATTATCCACAAATGGCGAAAACATGGAACAGTGGAGAACCTTCCCAGGAGTGGCCGGCCGACCAAAATTACCCCAAGAGCGCAGCGACAACTCATCCAAGAGGTCACAAAAGACCCCACAACAACATCCAAAGAACTGCAGGCCTCACTTGCCTCAGTTAAGGTGAGTGTTCATGACTCCACCATAAGAAAGAGACTGGGCAAAAATGGTTTGCATGGCAGAGTTCCAAGACGAAAACCACTGCTGAGCAAAAAGAACATAAAGGCTTGTCTCAGTTTTGCCAGAAAACATCTTGATGATCCCCAAGACTTTTGGAATAATACTCTGTGGACAGACGAGACAACAGTTGAACTTTTTGGAAGGTGTGTGTCCCATTATGTGTGGTGTAAAAGTAACACCGCATTTCAGAAAAAGAACATCATACAAACAGTAAAATATTGGTGGTGGTAGTGTGATGGTCTGGGGCTGTTTTGCTGCTTCAGGCCCTGGAAGACTTGCTGTGATAAATGGAACCCTGAATTCTGCTGTGTACCAAAATATCCTGAAGGAGAATGTCCGGCCATCCGTTTGTGACCTCAAGCTGAAGCGAACTTGGGTTCTGCAGCAGGACAATGATCCAAAGCACACCAGCAAGTCCACTTCTGAATGGCTGAAGAAAAACAACATGAAGACTTTGGAGTGGCCTAGTCAAAGTCCTGACCTGAATCCAATTGAGATGCTGTGGCATGACCTTAAAAAGGCAGTTCATGCCCGAAAACCTTCCAATGTGGCTGACTTACAACAATTCTGCCAAGATGAGTGGGCCAAAATTCCTCCACAGCGCTGTGGCAGACTCATGGCAAGTTATCGAAAACGCTTGATTGCAGTTGTTGCTGCTAAGGGTGGCCCAACCAGTTATTCGGTTTAGGGGGCAAACACTTATTCACACAGGGTTTTGTAGTTTTGGATTTTGTTTTCCCTTAATAATAAAAACCTTCATTTAAAAACTGCATGATGTGTTTACTTGTGTTATCGTTGACTAATATTTAAATTTGTTTGATGATCTGAAACATTACAGTGTGACAAACATGCAAAAAGATAAGAAATCAGTAAGGGGGCAAATACTTTTTCACACCACTGTATGACTTTGGGTTTCAGGAAACTGTAACTGACATTTTGTTTCCAGAAGAAATTATTGACTAAGTGATCAAGGAACGCACGACCAGATCCTTCTTCACCTCTCTGAGGAAAACACACTGGTGTTTAGGTGTTTGTGTGTAGTAAGAAAGAAGAAAGGGGGGTCAAGGTGGAGACTAAGTGCTAAGTGGATGTGATATTTTTCTCAGCACCTACACAGCTTTGTCCTGTGGGTAGCAGAGGTCTGGGGATTTCACCTCAAACCTGACTGCTTGAGCTGAGTCAGGGCCAAACATTTGTGCTCTTTATCAAACACAATAAATCCAAGCCTAACTTCTTAATATGGTACAGTGATTCAGTGCACTCCCACCACTCTCCAACTGTAGGTACAGTTTAGGATAACAAAGGCAGTGAAAATAAAACTTTGGCAGAGTTAAAAACCCCCTTCAATTTTCTGGCATCACTGCTGTTTAGCTACAAATTGCTGCGGCCAGATTTACAGTAAGGCAGACCACCTCTGGGGGAGCGTTTGTGGGGAAAGGTCTGTTTACCTTTGAGCAGAAAACTCCACACTCTGTGAGGTAAAATAAACTTTTTGTATGTGTTTATATATCAGTATTGTGCTCTCCTAAAGAGGTTATTGTTCTTTAGATTTCACAAGATTTTTTTTTAAATAAATATGCGTAGAATCCATGTTTGTACATTGGTACCAAATGAGTGTGTTTATCTGATTTTGCATCATTGCATCAGACAAAATCGTTAAGAAATCAGTATGAGAATTCTGGCCATGTGCCGACTCCACACTTTATAAGTTGAGCCTTCTGGGGGGAATTACTTCCTTTAACTTCACGTCAAGTGTACATGTTGGCAAATAGCGTTCTGCACAGGATTAGCAAACACAACACATTTTATTCCTCCAATGCTCAACACTGGCAATCGTCTTTTCCTCTTCTGTAATAAACAGATGTCCCCTGATCAGTAAAATAAAAGTGTTATGAGTTAAAAACAGCCATCCACTCCACTTTGTAGCCTTCTTAGTCAACCTGAACGCCCATGTTTAAGCTTTTGATAAAGAATAATTCAACATTTTGGGAAATACATGTATTCACTACATCATGCTGTACGTGCAAAGTTCTGTTACATTTTGTTGAATCTTGCTTTGATAAATACAGAACATTTTCCATCTCAGTTTTAAAACAGCTGGATGGAAACACACCAACTTACTATGTAACTCCCACAAAATGTCAAGTTGTTTTTTTTTTTGTATGTATTAAACAAACAAGATGTAATGTGCTAAAAAGCTTTATGATACTGGAAGGTGGAGTTGTGTTAGCCTAATATAGCAGGCCAGCTGCTTCCCCCATATCCAGTCTTTAGGCCTAAGTTAAGCTCACCATCTTCTGGCTATAGCTTCATAGTTGGTGGACCGAAGGGAGAATGAGGAGAATGGTATCAATCACCTCGTCAAACTCTCAGCAAGAAAGCAAATAAAAATAGTTCCCAAAATGTCAAGCTATTCCTACAGTATATGCTTCTATGACAATAATTCTAACAACTCCAGTGCTTTGGCTAGGAAGTACTGTTGTGTCTTTATCAGCCAATATGTCCACTTTGCCAAGTAGAACTTTCAAAACGTGAAAAAGTTCCCACATAAAAAAGTGTCTTTTAACACTGAAAACACATTATAACCTTCTCTTACTCTTGTCCTGGGTGTTGTCATTGATTCTGTTCCAATGGTCAGTTTTCTCTTTTCCTGTTACCTGCCTATCCCTCAGTTGGTGTGTATGCAGTAAGTTATCCAGTTCTCTGCTTTCATCTGCCTTTTGAAGCTGCAGGGCTCCTTCTGCCTCCAGTAGTCAGTTGAAATGGTAGTAATCTATTCCTTCTTTCAGCTGCAAGGAGTTGAGGTTTCCCTCCAGAAGGCCTCCTGTCATATCCTACAGATGAAACACAAACATGAGAGAAACAATAAGAACAATAGAAAAAAAACAATGCTGGGAGACAAACCTTCCCACAAAGCTTCGTAACAGGCATTGTCAATTGGCTTTAAATTATGCCACTGGCTTTGTCTTTTCAGTAAAGGTCTTCTTCTTCTTCACAGTCTTCTGCTGTGTATAACCGTACTCAACTATAAAGCTAAAGGTTATATACAGACTAAAGAGAAGCAGACTGGCCAATGGTAACCCTTGGCCTATAAGAATAGTTTGAATGAATATATTTGTTGATTATAGTCATTTGACATCTGGGTGAACAATGTGTGATTGAGTCCAGGTGTTTATGTTTGTGTGTTTGTGTGTGCGTGTGTCAGAGGGAGCAAGAGTGCGAGAGCTTGACAGAGTCCAGGTCTCCTTGTCCTCTGACTCTGATTACTTCTCTCAATTCCCATAATTGTGCAATTAGTAGCCCCCGTAGGTGGGGTCACTCTGGGTTTCATGTCTGAATCTGGCTGGGAGATAAACAGGCAGTTAGTGATTTTGCTGCCAGGACAGCTGTATGGGTGCATGTTATTGTATATTTATAATAATAATAATAATAATAAAATAAAAAAAAGAAAGTATCTGTATCTTAGGAAAAGCTCTACACATGCTCCCAGGAGTTTAGAAAACAGTGGGCAAATCATCAGATGTTTGTACAAGCATCATGTGTTCAAAAATCAGGCTGCTGTCCGACCCATTTCCTGACTGCCTCCTGGGTGTGTATGGGTTATGTCCTGTGCTGGGCACACACCCTTGATCATTATGTTGTTAACACAGACTACAGACCTAAGGGACAGATGGTCAGAAACTCCAAACATGCAACACACAAACATATGTTGTGCTGACCAGTTTAACACAGATGACAAAGGGGGCGGAGGCGTCTCTGTAGTGGAGAACTGGGATTTTTGGCTTCGATCTTTCCTGGAGGAATAGCAACAGAAAGAGAGACGCATAAAGCACATATCACTGCTACTCACAGCTTCTTGTAATAAAGTGTTCGGATGACCATTATTTTGAAAAGACCCGGTGCCTCTTTAGCCCTGCTTACTGGGATATTTAATCAAAATAATGGTATCCACAGTGTCTGAGCTCACCTTGGATTCCTCATATGTGTAGAAGCCTTTCTGGATCTTGTTCTCATCCACGTCACAGAACGCTTTGACCTGATCAATCAATCAGAAAGGCCATGAATGCTGACACACACTCACATAGCGCAGCTTCTTACACCAGTTGCGTTCACTTACAGACAGGAAAAAAAACAAAAACATATTTTGATTAATGTCTCACATCTGGAGGTTAACATACTTTCTTCTGATTGGTCGGGCTCAGGGATCGGTACAGCTTCCGGCCCTGTTTCCCAGCATTCCATATGGAGAAGCTCCCCCATTGGCTGAGAACTCTCTCCTGCAGGAAGTCTACTCGCAGCTTCCAAATGGTTTCTCTAGAAACAGCAGAGATGAGGAGAGGGTAGAGGACAGAGACACAAAAACATGAAATGTACAAGCTTAAAATCAGAGATGATGTCTCTACAGGCCTAAGGCAAAATCGTTTAGTTTGGTGTGAAAACAAAGGTTCATACTGTCTGAAGGAAGAAAATGTGCTGGTTAAGATGCCATTTAGGCCATATTGTGCATTTTAAGGTGAACTGAGTGTAAATGGGGCCTTAAACTAATCACAAGGGCACACGTGGGAATATTTAGAAAAAGGGCTGCACATTTTAAAGGAAAAGATGTGTAGCCGAGGCAAGGACCGTGAACAGTGAGATGTTCAGGCAACTTTTACGTAAAGCCCAGGGTCAGCCAAACTGTTGATTGTACACTAGACATTTATCAGCTTAGGGCTGCAACTGACGATTATTTTCATTACTGAATAATCTGCCAGTTATTTTCTCAAATGATTAATTGTTTGGTCTATAAAACATCAGAAAACAGTAAAACTCTTATGCATGCACACTGACACACCTTTACATTCAGATATGCCTCCATGTTCTCCACACAGCCCCATGGTAATAACCCCTACCTCTTTCCTCACTCTCTCTCACACACACAGACCTCTGTTTTCACTCGTAATAAGACACAGTACCTGAGCCTTAACCATAACCACTACTCGCCTAACCCAAACCCTTACCTAACCATAACCTTTAACCAAATCGTAGCCCTAAAATTAACTGATTTACATGATGGAGATAGCGCCTGGTCACCACAAGAAAGGCCAAGTATCCACAATGTGAGTAATACCAGGTGCACACACATCCACACACAGATATTGCGCAATCACTCTACTTTTATGTCCTGATGTGAGCATGGCCCTGTGTTGAACACTGGGTCTAATAAAAATGAACCCAAACCCACCACCATCATGGAGCCTGGGTGGTCTCCAGATTGCTTTTCTATACAGGCTTTGATTCCGAGACATGGCAGGAACATGGCAGATATTTACTATAAACTGTATCTGCATACACATACTGAAGTCTTCATCCCCCTAATAGCCTGCAGATCAACACACTTTCACACACTCTGGTACAGATTCACATACACAACATTCACACAAACATAAATACTTGTGCAGACACGTCCACATTTATAAACTCTGTCAAAAGGCCTCTCGTGTCGATTAGTGTTTGGCCCCAACTCAGCTTTGTAAAAAGACACTTTTCCCCTCACACACAGGGCATCTACAATTACTTATGTCTCTCACACACATCTCTCACATACGTGTGTGCAAGAGATAAAAAAAAAGTTGATAGTTTCATTTGGCTAAAGGGAGGAAGTAGGTAGGCTTTAGACAGGAAGGGGTGACAAGAAGTGAAAAGTAGGCAAGGCAAGCTCAAAATAGGCCTCCAAATATAGACAGATGACAGATGAAGACAGAGGAAGATTATCACTGAAGGAGCATTTCAACACGAGCAGATGAGCAGGTGACAGATGTATAGGAGGAAGGAAGGAAGGAGAGATAACAGGAAAGATAGAATAAAAGAGAAGGTGGTGTGAGGTGACAGATGGCAGGAAAGACCCTCTCCTTTGGTGTGGTTTACATTTTG